AGGTAAATATCTAGATCTGTGCCCCTTGGGGATGTAGGATAAGCGATATGCTTTTTATGCATAGGCAGGTGTATCCCATATCAGTTATATTTACCTAAAGTTTCATGTTTGACTAAGCATTTCTATCACAGAATGTTTCTTCTAGTAGTACTCAAATCAGTAGTTAGAAAGACTACACATTTGTTTTAGATATTATCATCCCAATGAAGCAGCACATCAGGCTTGTGTTAAATCCTGGTTTTTCTGCTTACCAGCTCTGTGACTTGGAAAATTTATTAACTTATCTGGACTTGGTTTTCCCTGCTGGCAGTGAGACCAGTGTGCACAAGCTTCTGGTGTCCAGCCCAGACCCTGGTTGCACAGTGAGCATCTGTGGGGAGCTGGCACCAGCATCCCTGCTAGCAAGAGCTCATTCTATGTGTCTTCCCAGCTCTGTGTTTCTTAACATCATGCCAGCCATGGTGGGAGTGTTTACACCACAGAAATTGGCAGATACTGTAAATCAGGGTCTCTTTTTCTGGGAGAACCACTCTTTAAACATTTCCTAGTTCACTACAGGTGGGTACTCAATCATTATTAATCGCTGCACCATAAACTTTCCCTGTAATACGAATTTCTTTTTCTGCCCTACTGTAATCTAGCCAATACTGGAATCCAGCTAATTCCAGCACAAAGTGCAGGTCTCTATCCCTGGAGTTTCTGACTTAGCCCACTTGGGGTGAAGCTGGAGAATTTCTAATGATGATACTGCCAGTCTGGACACCACATTTGGAGACACTGACCTAATCTGTCTAATAAACTAACTCCACAGTTCACAGTCCCTTGGAGGACATAGAAAGCGTGTCCCTTCTGTCTCAGGCAATAGCCCTGTGATGAATACTGACAGTATCTGGCCCATATGCCACCTCATTTAATCTCCTTAAATGAGATTATTGCTCTTATTATTGCTCTCTGGCAATACTTACTGTTTTAATCCTGATATTGTAGATGGAGGAAACTGAGGCTTGGGGGGATTTATTAACTTACTCATTGGTCCTAGGCAGAAAAGCCAAGTGAAACCCAAATCCTCCAACCCCAGGCCATCAACCACCAGGGCATAGGTTGTATGGAACTCAAGGGTGAGTAGAGGCTGATATCCTGAACTCTGCAGGCCCAGCTGTGCACTGGCAGCACCACATCACCCCAGGGAGCTACTTTTTCTCACTTGCATTAAGATGCTATAGAGGCTAGTAGGGACCCTGTCCAAAGCTTACTCTCTCCGCCCTTCAGTGCCCCCCGCCCCGGAGCCTCTAAACTGGTCCAAAGGCAGAGCCAGTGGCAGACAGAAACTGAGAGCACCAAGCAGAGACATTATTTGAAGTGACCTCGAGTTGCACATGTGAGTGTGTAGAAGCAGCTTACAAAACAGCTGTTCCTACAGGAGGCTTGGGGGGGGGGCAGGTGTCAGGAGGGTAGAGCAAAGGGATTTGGCTGCAAGCAAAGGCACAGATTGTCGGTGATGAGAGCTGTATCTCCTGCCCACCCCTGGCATGTGTGTGGCATCGAAGGTGCCCAGTGGGTGGGGCAATTAGCCTGTATCCCAGGGCGCCTGGCTCTGCCTCTCCCCTTCCTTCCCACTGCCTTTTTGCAATTAGATTGCTCTGGGCAATCGCTGCCAAACCACTTTGTTAGATCTGATGGGTTTATTAATTTCTTGGGGGCTAATAGAAGGGTGGGTGGGAGATTCATTTCCCTACTGGAGCAAGGGGGCTAATTAGTCTCTTTGCCAGGTCCCCAGAGGTGATGAGTGGGAGGGTGCATTGCTCAGGCTGTTGGATCTGGCTCTGGATAAATCATCCCTATCCTTGGCTTTCACAGGGGACCTAGCGCATGGCTTGAGTCACATGGAGCGTGGGGCTGGAGCCTCTTACAGCAGTGGTTAGTGAGCGCTGAATCCCTTGAGAGTAGTGGGGATAGGAAAGTGGACAGGGACATGTGAGGTCTTACTGGCTCTGTTGGTGTGAAGTGTAGGTTTAGGGTGATAATATAGGATTAAAGGAAATGCAATCTTATGCCAAAAATTTAAATGCTGGCATCCAGCCCAGTTGCTTTTTATTTTCCTTCTGTCCAAATATAGCCTCTCCCAGCCTAGGAGACTATCAAGAGCCAATTCCACCTATTTTGAAGGCAGGGAAATTGAACTCCTTGAAGTCAGGGAAACTGACCTCCTTGGAGAGACAAATCCCACCTGGCTCTGTGGAGTACCAAGACCAAGCAGAAGAAAGCTGTGCATCTGGGATTCTTACTGCATGGCTGAGGCCCAGGGAAGCCATGTCCTGTTTAGCATGGCCTTTTGAGTGAAGGGTACATTGGCATCTTTTCCTTAAAAGATGGCAGAAACAGAAAGTATCATGGATTTAGGAATCAAACAGATCTGGCGTTAAGCCTGTGCTACGTCTACCAGCTGTGTGACTTTTGGCAAGTCATTAAAACTGTCTTAGTCTCAGTTTCTCTAGAAATAAAATAGAAACCTTGTCACTACTCCAAAGAGTCATGGAAGAATTCAAAGAGGTGACATAATTTTGAATCTAACACAACAGATGTCCATAACTATATTACCCTTTCCCTCTTCATTTGGGAATCTAGAAGCGTATCTTTCATCCTCCACTCCTTGCCCCTGTAGAGAGAGACAGCAGGGGAAGGTCAGGCAGTGGCATGGCCTGGTTGGTCCCTTTGAGAGACAATAGGCATGCCAGGGGCCGGCGGGGCAAGGGGTTCACCTGCCTTTTTCCCATGCCTGGCCAATAACAAAACTCTGCCCACAGGATATGATGGCTTTCCCTGCTTCCAAGTCCAATCTGAACATAAATAAGACTGTCCTTTTTGTCTTGAGACACACAGGCTGCTAGAAATGAAAATATTCAGAGAACACTGGAAGGTTAAGACAAGATGACCATGCCAGCTTCCTTTGGAAGACTCATCTGGGACCAAGAGCACAGGGCTTTAAGCTCAGGCTTCTCACCTGATGGGCTGTGTGACCTCTCACAAGCGGCATGGGCGGTCTTTCTTGAGTCTCAGTCTCTTGATCTGTAAATGGGGCTTGCTGCTTGGATATGCATGAGGCACTACTTCCAAACTCAAAAGCAACAGGCACATGTATAGAACCGTTGCACTCCTGCAGAGGTACAGACAGTCTGCCCCTCTTTCAGGTGGCTTCCTCACAAAGGCACAGAGAGCAGTGTTTGGTTATTGGTCATCTCCCCTTCCCCCCGCCCCCCGAGTCTGCTAGTGTAACCGGAGGCCCACAAGAGCTTGGTTAATAGTCCAGGTGGTTCCGGGTTGGCCCTGACCTCTACATCCTCTTCCTTCTCCAGACCGTGAATGCGGGAAGCTGGCTCCCACTCACTGGGACCCTGGGCTCTTTTGCTCCATGGTGCGGGGGTGAGAGCCAAGGGTGAGCCACATCTTTACTGTTGTTGGGGCATTCAGAAGAGAACCTAGGGCCCTGTTCTAGGAAACACAGCCGTGTGGCACCCATGCAACACGGAGTTCTCCAGGGAAGCGGCTGATGGTGCCTGGAGATGCCCAGGAGAGGTGGCTGTGTGCATCTCTTTAGGTTTGCAGCCAGCTGCCAGCTCTCTCTCTGGCTGCCCACCTAGACACTCAGCACCAGAAACCACTTGTTGGAAAGTCCAGGTACCAGAACTGTATGAGATTTTTATATATATACTATATATAGTTACTTATCTATGCATTAGACATTTCTATATTATTTACATATACATGTATATAATGTATATGTAGATATCAAAGGATTCCACTGGGGAAAATGATCTCATAGTCCACTGCTGTTGAATTTAGGCCTAAGTAATTTCCTGGATGGGGAACTAATTTAAGTTGTGGATTTTTGTTTCACCAAGATGTCTTTAAGATAATGGGATAGTCAACAGGAATATATTGTACACTTAACAGTTTTTTGAGAGGCTAGACTTCATGTTATGTTTTTACCACAAAATAAAAATGAAACAAAAGGCAATAAAAGGAAAATGAAACAAAAGGGAAGTGGGAAGAAACGAACATTTGTTGAGTGCCAAGTGAAATGCATCCTACAGTGACCCAAAGAAGTTTCTTTTATCGTTCCCACTTTGCGGATGAGCAAGCGGACCCCGTGAGTTTAGAAACTCTTGAGGTTCCACAGTAACTCTGTGCGCCCAGGTCTGGGGAGATACTGTAGTGTCAGACTGGCCATCTGGATGTCACTGGGCTACGACAGAGGTGGGGAAATGTTACCATCCCCCCATTTACACATGAGACTGGAGGACTTAGGTACCTTCTTCAAATCATCAGAGCAAGCAGTTGTATCAAGCAAAAGTAGGACCTGGACCTTTCCCTTCTGGTCCATTCATTCATTCATTCATTCATTCATTTACTTACTCATTCTGTCTAACCATTCAGCAAACACTTATTTTTCTAAGTTGTTTTATTTTACAGTACATAATGATTACATTCACTGTGGGGGGTTGGTACACATACATGACACATCTTAATTCTTTTTCTCCTTCCCTCCATCTTTTGGTCTCCTTAGCAAACATTTGTTAAAAGCCAAGTATTTGCCAGTTCCCCCCCCCCAATATAACCATTCTCATTCTTAGGTGATGAGGATTACTGCAGGCAAAACGAAGCACAAGAGCGCTGTAGCTCATCCCTGCTGAAACTAATGTGATTTCCTGTACCCCATTCCCTTCTGGGAAAGATAACTTTCATGAACCACATTCCATTCCCGATTTACTTGCCCATCTTCCTCTCCCAAGTCTTTACTCCTTCTTTCCAATACCCTAACAGCCCCTTTTCCCTCAAGCCGCTAACCCCATATAACCCCTGGTTCATCCCCTCCTTCCTGTGACTTACATGAAGCCCAGCAGAGGCAAGGCCCTAGCCTCTGAGCTCCTGCAACTCCAGGAGGCCTGCAGCTGTATAGGCTCCTTCCTGTGCCTTTCCAATCCTTTCATTGGTCTCCCCAGATTGGTCAGTGGCACGTGGCAGAAGGCCTCAGCATGGACAGCCGCCTCTACGCCTCCAACATCTCCGACAGCCTCTTCAACACCACCCTAGTCGTCACCACCATCCTGGTAAGCGGGGTCTCCCAAGCCTCCCAGCTGCAGCTCCTCAGGGTGCCTCCCAGAGCACTAAGAGCTAGCAGGCTTCGCAGGGAACAGAACATGGGAGCGCTAATCACAGCGCGGAGGCCAATTTATGACAGTGTAATTACACTCAAGTTGCTGTTTCATATGGAAATGATGTTTGATGAACTCCCAGGCAGCTGAGGAAGAGGGATGGTGTGGAAAGAGTCTCCAGTTTGTGGATGCTTCTTTCAAGGGTTGCCTTCTGGCCAGGGGACCTTCCCATGTAGGTGGGGGTGCTGGATCTAATACCCTGGGGGGCCACTCTCTTTCCCAGCAACCCACCTTGCTTGGAGCCTGCTGTATATAAAATGAGGCCCTCCGGCCCCCACTGGATACCTCCAGGTAGATGTCTGTGAGTTTCAGTGGCCTCTCTTCTCTTCCAGATGATACAAAGAGAGATGTCAGTGAATCCTAGGGCAAAGGACCATCTTCCTTTTTATTTGATTCAATTCTCTTCAATAATTATCAGGTTGACCCCTCACCCCTGTCCCTGCCATGTTCCAGGTGTGGTGCTTAGTCGTGGAAACCAAAGATGAGTAAAAGTCAGTCTCTCCAAGAGATTATAATTTAGCGGATGAGATAAGTCAAGTGCATACACAGCCAATGTATTATTTGTCTTCCCCTGAAGACCTAATATTTTAAAAGATGTGTCAATTAAACCAACTGCGTGTATTACACATAATTAGGTTTTTTCCTCCCCTCTCTCCTTTTTAACCAAGCAAAAGTGTATTTTCCTGCCTGAAACAGCTTCTTGTCAGCAGGAGATAACCAGTGTTGTCACAGTATTTCAGCCCAAAGCAGAGACGATGTGTGTGGTAAAGCATGCTCAGCCTTACCCCGGCTAAATGTGCAAGGTCTGCACACGTACGTGTCTATTTCTTTTAAGCTTTTTGAAATAATAAAAAACAGCTCAGGGACCTCTATCTTGACCTTCACCAACTCCTGAGGCCCAGGAACCCTGGGTTGGAATTACTGATCTACTGTAAACAGAGTGGGATAAAAGCCAGGAGAGAGACACAAAGGCAGAGCTGTGGGGTACAGAGGAGAGAGAGGTGCCATCCCACACAGAGGTCAGCAACGCCTTAAGAAGAAACATTTAAAACTGACTCAGAAATGTAGGAACAATTGGAGACGTGAGAGTGAATGAAGGAGGGCATTGTTAGGTGTTTAGCAGGTGCTGGAAAGTGTAAGTTTTCCTCAGAAATAGGCTTTGGTAGGGAAAGGGAGAAGCAGAAGGTAAAGTAGGTCTGTCGTGCTCAGGAATTTGAATGCCATTCATTTGGTAGGCAGTGTCACTGAATATTTTCATTTATTCATCCAATGAATGTTTGTTGGGTGCTGCTCTATGCTTGGCACCATCCACCCACTCTGGATACATCAGTGGACCAAACACAAAAATCCCTGCCTGTAGCAGATTGCATTCCAGCCTTGGATATGAGAGAGAGAATAAAAAAATTCAGTACAAGTAAAATGTCCCTTATTCAAAACGCTTACAACCGGAAGTGTTTCATGTTGCATATTTTTTCAGGTTTTGGGATTTTCACCCAAAACTTTACCAGATTAGCATCCTTGATTTAAAAATTGCAAATCTGAAACACATGACAGTAGCATATCAACATTTAAAAAGTTTCCAGTTTTGGAGTGTTTGGGATTTTGGAGTTTTGGATGTAGGGATGTTTGACCCATCCCCAGATGATAAATCAGAAGGTGGTAAAGCTGAGGGATAAATGATAGAGCTGGGAGCTGGGGCAATGGGGTTTCGGGCTCTGAGAGGGAAAGTGGTAATCGGATGAGATCAGCACAGAGACCTGACGCAGGTGAGAAGCTGCCTGGGGAGGAGATTCTGGCAGAAGGAGCAGTTGGAGCGAAGGACAGAGAGAGCAGTTCCATCTCCCAAGGGTTTTAGTCTCTCCCCATCCCAGCTTCAGCCTTAGTTTCTTTGAACAATGGGAAATGCCAGGAAGGTTAGAGGGTGGTGGTGTCCCCCTTCCGGCTGAGAGCTGGAGGTAGGCTTGCTGAGCTGAGCTGCAGGAGAGCACAGGGTGACTGCTGGGATATCCTTCCTGCTGTCTTTTTGACCCTTGAAAAACGTCTGGAGTCTGTTCCCCTCCATCCATTTACAGCCTCCTTGCTCTCAGTTGCCCCGTGTAGTCCTGTGACTTCCTTCCTGCTGCCCGACATCAGGACTAGCCCACCTCCCCTTGCTCTGCACACAGCTTGGGATCTGTGTCGTGCCTCCTACCTTTGCATGTGCTGTTCCCTCCACCTGCAATGCCCTTCCCTCAATTCCTGTCTCCTGCTAGAAAGCAGGAAGACAGTGCACATCCTCAAAAGTCTGTTCAGATGTCACCTCTTCCCTGGAGTCTTCCCTTGTCGGATTCCTGTAATCTCCATCTCTAGCCTTTCTACCCCTTCTGATGTGGCCTGTCTTCTCTGAGAGGTGGCAGTTTGAATTTTCCCTTCTATAACTAGAGCTCCTGTAAGATTTGGGTACCTGACACAAGTAGGAGCTCAGTAATTAGAATGTGAGTAGAGGAATTCCTTCCTAGAGAATTTGGGAGAGGAATTTTAAGGAATGCCTGAAAAGCCAGGAAGATACGAGGAGGGAGGTGGAGGACTGGGGGTTGTACTTCCTGTCCCTCAGGGTCTGGGAATCTGACTGTGCTCAGAGCTTCTCTACAGTCCACTAAGCGTCACACAGACCACTCGGCCCTGTTCCAGGCTGGGAGTCACTCTGATCCGCACGTGCGTGTACCTGTGCTTTCACATGCTCACACACCCACACGTGAGTGCATGAGGGACATGGGTCTTGACAGGACAACTCCTGCATGAAGTGCCGTTCAGCAAAAGAGTAAGCACAACTCAAAACAAGATCAGCACTGGTTCTTTTCTTGTGCATGTGTGTCTGTATGTCAGAGATGGCTGGCGGGAATCAGTAACTCTTACCAGGAAAGAATATCCTAACTCAGTCCCTGGGTGACCGTTTGTGGGTTTTCCCTTGTAAATGGTAATCCTGAGTGATTTATCCTTTAGAGCTCAGCACGTATCTGTGTTGTCTCTTACTCCTGTCAGGGTACACTTGGGACATGTGAATGATTTATTGGTTAATACCAGCAAACATGTGGATGAGTCTCAGACCCCATTCGCTACACACCTTTTCTGTGCCAGGTTCCACATTAAACATATTGCTACATTGTTACCTGAGACTGTCCCTACACCCCTGTCAGCACAGGACAGCAGTCAGCCCCCCCCTATTTCCCAAAGTGACAGTGAGCCCCAGTCTTACAGATTTCGCTTTCCCACATGTCTCTTCCCTCTAAGATCAGCCTTATGGATACTTACTTTGAACATGTCAGTGAATTTTAAATTAACTCGAGAGCAGAGAGTATTTAGGGAGAGTTTTATGACACGCTTTAGGATAAATGAAGATACCCTGGTCCTGGGATGGGGGCCCTCAGCTGAGCCCTGTCCATAGTATCATTTTTTTGTTGTTAGTCACACAGTCCACAAGTGCCTAACATTGGAGCCAGGTAGGGGATCAGCGAAGGGGAAGGGTTACTCCCAGGCCCTACTCACACTGCGCCTAGGAACTGCACCGAGGTGCAGAGGGGAAGGCATTGAGTGTGATTGTGAGCCCTGCCCATAGCATAAGGGGGGTTCTGAGCAGCAGTTTGGCATGGGAGGAGGCAAGACGACTTCAAGGACAGCAGTGGGTTAGGTTAGGTAGAAGATGGGGAAGGAGGAGACTTGGGGGAGAGAAAAGCCCTTGAGCCAAGGGTGGCACGTGTGGAAGTCAGGGAAACTGGTCCAGCTCATTGCTGTGACAATGGACCTGATCACAAATCAAAGCCACCACATCACCTTCAACTCAGAGCTCATGCTCCCTGACACACAGCTGGTTACTTCCCACTTTCCCACTACATCACACTCACAAAATTGCTCTCACAATCCTTGTCATGACCTCCGGTCTGTCTGGCACTCTACCTCCACCTCCCCTCCCCCAGGCAGAAGCCACAAGTCCAGCTGAAACTCAGCAACTCAGCATTTAAGCACTCCCCTCTCTTAGCTTCTAGAATCATCTCCACCATGATGCTAAGCCATCTCCCCTCATACCTGTCCCCAGGCCTGATTGTCTCTGCCATCCCTGCTCCCTGCTGCCGATCTGCATTTGTCCTGTCTTCTGCTGGGCCTTGGTAGTCACCTATGCTCAGCTCTTCTCTCTCCCTCTGTTTCCACTGTGCAGTCCTGCTGGACCTTCTCCCACAGCAAGCCCTTAGTCCCGCCTACCTGCCCCACCTTTGCTACCACCTTGGGAGCTGGTGCGTGTTCACCTCCTCTCTGTGTCATCCATATCCATTCTCTGCACCTTACCCCCAGGTCCATTTCCAGCCTCACACACCTGGGCCTTGTGTCCATCACTGTTTCGTGGACCTCGCTCTTCCTGCCACCCCCTCTCTTTCTGCCTTCTCTAGCCTCTTCTTTTGCAGGGATTCCTTGCTGCCTAGCTATAGATGTACTCTGGTAGCTCCCCTCCTAAACAGCATCACTGCCACACCACCTACCCCCGCACTGCCCTTCAGTTATGCTCCGTTTTAGGGAATCATAGGATCAAGACCAGGTACACCGTTGGGATCCTCTCGTCCTGTTTGTGGAAGGGCAGTGGGGTAGAGAACAATTTCCTCTTTACTGTGCTGCCTGTTCCACCTCCCAGCTTCTCCAGATGCTGGCCCGTGTGCTCCTGTATGCTGTCATCACTCCTGGCTCTTGCAGAGGCTGGCCACCCCCACTGTGTCACAGGCCCCTCAGAAGATCATGTGCCCTGTGACCCAGCTTCCCTGTCACAGCCCTGCTTGGTCTCTGTGTGGGATGACTGCCTTTTTCTTCAAACTCCTTTACCCTTGACTTTCCTGTACACACATTCCTGTGTATCCATGGATACACTTCACTTTTCTGCTCTCAACAATCAGGTTCTCCCCCCACACAGGTGAGATTCTCTGTTACTTTTCAGTCCTGTCTCAATTCTTACCCCCAGTGGTGTCACCCATTCTACACCTCCTGCCTTCACCTCTGTACAGAGGCCTCCAAGACCCTGTCCTTTTAAGCTTGTCTCATATATTAAACACCCTGCCAGTGATTTCCCCCTCCTGGATAACCTGCTGCTGCCCCAAATCCAGCATATTCCAAACTTTGTTCCCTTCCAAGCCATGACAAGGAAGATGCCATTCTCATTCATCTACCCTGGTGCCAAGGGCCTGGGGGCCTGTCCTCTGCACCCAACACTCGACCAGTCATCAAGCCTGCTCTTCCCTGTGTTTCTTACATCCTTCCAGCTCTCTCCAGTACAGGCTGAGCCCCTTGCAGCTCAGCACACAATGTCATACACCAAGAGAAGGCCTATCCTGGTCCCTCTCTTACTACTTGATATTCTTTACTCACAGCTTTATATCTTTAAGACCAAAGATGCTCTGTCTTAATAATTTGTGGAAGCTTCATCCTGGCACTGAGGCCTATGTGAGCAGTAACTCATCGTTCTAAATTTCTCCTCTCTTACCATCCGGTCTTCAGCTAGAGGAGCTAAGCAGGGATGTGAGTGGGTCACACTCCTTCTCACCTGGGATTATGCCCCAGTCATGCCTTTCTCCTGTCCCTTATGCCCTTCTTTCCTACCCCATTCGTCTGTCAGTATCCTGCTGTCCTCCAGAGCCCAGTGTGGATCCCACCTCCTCTATAGCCTTCTTTAGACAGCTCACCACCTCCCTTTTCCTGGTACTCTGCCATGTTCTTACCTATCCTCGTTTATTGTAAGCATCCTCATGTCCCCTACTCCCTATATTTCCCAGAAGTAGATCTAGGCAAAAAGCAAAAGGGGGGAGAGAGAGACAGAGAGAGAGAGACAGAGAGAGAGACAGAGAGAGAAAGAGAGAGAAGATGGAGGGATGTGATGACCTTGATCAGTGACTTGCCCCTGTCCATGGTGGATGCCACTGTGTGTTGCTGGTAAGAGAAGCACCAGGAAGGAGTGCTTTGAGGAGTGGATGAGGGAAAGGTAGCTCATTGCCCCCAAGACAGCCCATTACCCAAACCCCATCTTGTCCCCAACTTTTGCATCCCAAGGGGCCCTCCCTGTCCTGTGTGGCAAGATGCCAGAGCTAAGATGAGAATGACAGCTGCCCAGTTTTGCTGCAGGAAAACCCATATTTAATGCTGAAGGGGAACCACCAGGAGATGGAAGGCAATGACCGCTACGAAGGCTTCTGTGTGGACATGCTGAAGGAGCTGGCTGAGATCCTCCGGTTCAACTACAAGATACGCCTGGTTGGGGATGGTGTGTACGGTGTGCCGGAGGCCAATGGCACCTGGACAGGCATGGTCGGGGAGCTGATTGCTCGGGTAAGGAGTAGACATGACTTGGGTGTGTGGATGAACTGGAGGGGCGGTGGAAGGGTGTAAAGTTGTGCTGTCTCTTCATGAAACTTGCAGTGACATGCTCTCTCGTTCATGCCTTTTTCATTTATTTGTCCATTTATTCCACAAAACTTTAGGGAGCTGACATGGAGCCAGGCACTGGGGATGTGCTTTGATAAGCAAGACCCCCATGAGCCCTGCCCCATGGCTTTCCCAGTCCTGCCCTGGAATAAATCATTGACTTGGCTTGGACCCATTACCATGGATGCAGGAGTGTAGCTTCTATTTTTGGATAATCCAGATGCTTTTTATTTGTTCTGATGATTTTGTTGCTCACCACCACCACCTTGCACTGGCAGAGCTTGGACAGGCTCTGGGAAAGTAGAACACACTGGCATTCTCCAACTTGGATACTTGAGAGATGCTATTAAGGGATACATGATTAAACAGCAAGGGAAATGGATCAACTGTCAGAGGAGTTGGTTACAGTGATGGTTATTTGGTTATTTCTTGGATCATCCTCGCTATCACTAATGTCCTTTTATAGACCAAGGGTCAAGGTGCACTTGGATGGGCCGCCGATTTCCAGGGTGACTATTGAGACTTGATTAAAATGCAGGGGAGCATCTTAGAATGCCAGTCTTCTGTCAGGTTAGAACAAAGGTGTGGAAAATTCTTCTGGAGGGAAGTCTCTTGTTTTCTTTGTATACACTATTAACAACTGCAAAAATTAATTAAATCATTGCTAATTCACTGCCCATGTTTCTATGGCTGAGTTCCAGTGATTAGAATAGGTGATGAAGACCCAGTGAGGAGAGCGCAGACTTGTTTCTTAGTGTGACCTTAAACCACCCGCTTCTCTGTGCATATTCACGGGCAGGGGAGCTCCTGCAGCCTCCAAGCCTCCTGCTGCACAGGTGCTTTCCAGGCGTCATCTCCAGTCCTCTGTAAATATACTTTTTGGCCACTTGTTATCCTCCCCTCTTTACAAATGAGTAATCTCAAGCTCACAGAGCTTAATGGCTTGTTCAGAGCCATACAGTTAATATGAGACAAGACTGGGATTTAAGCCCAGATCTCTTTATTCACTGAATTGCAATCATGTGCTATATAATGATGTTTAGGTTAACAATAATCTGCATATTTGACCATGGCGTCATGGATTACATAACCTAGTGATGCTATTGCCATCTTATTTTGTGTACATACATTCTGCACCACAACAAAATCGCCTACCCACTCATTTCTCAGAACATATCCTCATTGTTAAGCAACCTATGACTGCAATATGATTTTAATCCCTTCTATAAACCAAATTTGGAATATGAGATAAGATTTTAAAATCACAGTCTTCAAGAATACAAATATTAGTTGGACTTAAATGAGCAATCCCTGCCAGTGCACTGGAAAAAGCTCTGTATAAACAAGAGCTATAGGAAAGATGTTAGAGAGCTGAGGATGGAGGATGCTTAAGGTCTGCCTGGTAGCTCAGATGGTGTCTGCAATGACACTGAGGGGTAAAATGGCAAGCCTTGTTCAGGGAGTTGTGAAATGCATGGAGTGACTGGTGTCCAGAGGGAGCTGGCTTAGAAGTGAGGCCTGCTTGCAAAGGAGGCTGGCAAATGCAGGGCTGATAGGTAAACAGAAGGCCTAGGGAGTCTGGAAAGAATCTAACAGATGGTAGGGGTGGGGGTCAAGGCTGCAGCAGGGGCTCCTTGCAGTCCTTGAGACTGGAACCCACCTCATGGTGATGCATGCACTTCTGCAGAAAAGGCTTTGCAGCTTCTCTCTGCAGTCCCAGATACCCTCCTGGAGCATTCTTCCTGTTGGGATTCCACTGCATAGGCTCAGCCTGGAAGTTAGCCACAGGAGTCCAAACTACCGGGCTTTCCTTACCTTCTCACCACTGGGTCACCTTGAGCCTGGTTCTTCAGCCCACACTGGCTGCCTGGTGCCTGGTAGGGTGACTTCAGGGATGGTGGAGTCATTGCACAGTCATGTCCTTATTAGCCCTCTAATGAGCTGTGACAGGGTCTGGCAGGAGAGGGAAAGGAGCCCAGGACGCAAGGACACGCAGTTACATACTGAGTGACTTCGGCAATCAGACAGGGATGTTAAAATTCACCCCCAGCTCATCTTTCAAACAAAATCACTGCTGCTTTGATCTCATCAAAACTCGGATATATGGTATTAATTAACTAATTAACCTATTAATTCAATAACTACTTATTGAACATCTTTTACTCTTCTAGAGATAAATTAGAGATAAATGGGGAAAATAAACATGGACCCTGTCCTCAGGGCTTTTCCATCCTAGGAAGCAGGATAGTAATGAATGATCATATTTATATGCAATTGCAAAATGTTACGTGCAAGGGTGGCAGACTGTGGGAATTATCGGAGCATAGAGGGAGAAGGTCCAGTCTGAAGAGGTGAAACAGGTGAGAGAAGGATTCCCTTCAGAAGAGGATGGTTGGGCTGCTTTCGAAAAAGGGGTAGGAGCTACCTGGGCAAGGAAGAGCCTGTCACACAGAAGCCTATGCAAACGCCACTGGGGTTGGCCCAGGGCAGGAATGGGATGCTGGGGGCCCATCTTCCCTAGGGAAGATGTCAATATCATCCAAGATGTTTCCCAAGACTATGGTGGTCCTGGACCTAGATCTGTCCTGTAGGACCCATTCTCTAGGCTGTGCCAGAAATTTCCAGCACAGTAATAGCAGAGGGTCCCCTTTGAGAAATATGGGGTTTTTGAATGTCTACAGTGGACAAGGCTTTAGGGATCATCACATCTAAATCCTTTCCTTACGCAGATGAGGAAATGGAGGCGCAGAGTGACTAAGTGACCTGACACAGTTCACACAGCTAGTAAGTTCAGAGCCAGCCTTGGTCTGTCTGACTTCAGGACTCATGACCTGAAAGAGCATGAATCTTGAGTTTAAATAGCCCTAAGCTAACATATCAATATATCACCTACTAGCTACATGTTCTTAGGCAAGTTATTCTATCCTTTCTACTTGTCCCCTCAAGGCTCCATTGTTCAAATGCAAATAATTTTTGTAAAGACTTAAAGTGATATTCACACACAATAGGATATTTGGCGTCCAGGAAGTATGAGAATTGTCTTAGGTTGGACTCCCTGGAAAACAGGTCAAGGCCAAAGGTTACCTGCTAAAGCAGGGATTAGAATTCCAAGGAAGGAGAAGTGAGGGGAAAATGACAGGGAAGGGACGGAACATGTGAGAGGCAGTGTGTTAGCATACTGCCCATAAAAGCTTTGCACCAAACACATCTGCAGAGGCCCAGTGAAACTATTGGCTCACCTAGCAGTCCACAGCAGGGAGGGAGACTTACATCTTTGAGTCACATCTTTCTCTGGCTGAATTTCATGCTGTAGGACATCACTTCCCCACACTTCTGAGCTGTGCAACAGAATCCTTTGGTACCTTCCAAGATATTAGGTCCCGAGGCAACAAAGACAGGGCTGGAAGTGCAAGGCTGGTCATGTAGGGGGATCCCGTGGGGGGGTGTGGCCCCACCCATGACCCCTGCCCAGCCCAGTCAGGCAGGTGATTGAGTCCCGCACATGCCCACACCTCAGCAGAAGTGAGATAAGGCAACACGATGGGTTAGCAAGAACAGATACAGTGGGCCAGGCCACCCACAAAGATGAAGTGCCATGATGACGTGACCTCAGCCACCCCAGAGACAGAACCTGCTGAGCCTCCCTACAGTGAGGATGGAGTCTTTTTTTTGTGGATTGGTGGAAAGCAGTTGGTGCTGGGCCATCTTCCCATGGGATTACTTGGACTGTTGAGAGGAAATCCTCATGGCTGAGCAAACCCAGGGACGAGAAAACCCACAGGTGACTATCATTAGGCCCTTTCAGGTTCATCAGGCTGTTCTCAGGGTGCCTGTTCTTGTTTATAGTTATGTGTTCTGCAAAAAATAAAATGAAGTCAGTAGTTCTCAGCAGCTGAGAGTGAAAACCACTGTTTGCATTGCACTGGGGCAAACCCAAGTGGTCTTCTTAGAGGCCCAGGAGCCAGAGCCGGTATCCTGCAGATACAGGTGACTCCTTGGGGGCCTCACTCAGGCAGCATATGTGGAACTTGGGAGTGGAGAGGAAGTGCCAGTGTGTGCATGTACAGAGCTCTCTCCTCCTAGGTCTGTTAGACAAAGCCAGGGCAGTGCAGCTGACACTGCAGCAGCAGGGACGAGGGCTTGATATCAAGGAGAACCACACCAAGGGGCTTGGGGCTGACCACCAAATCTCTGTCTTTGGGGAGTTTCAAGACTATAGCAGCTGCTTATATGTCCAGGTAACCTGAAGTAAAGAGAGGCACGGGGTTGTCTTAAGTGAAAGGCCTTGAGCCTTAGTCTGTTATCATCTGCATGCCATGGTGATGGGTAGGGACACATCACACAGGAGTTCTGGAAGAGCATTCCAGCCTGTTCTCCACATGTACATGGAGATCATCAGAGCAAACCTTTTGGTGTAAACCACATTCCCATTAAAGGGAGAAGTGTGGGTGGGGCCAAAGCAAGTAATTCATTTTAGGGCCAGGTGGGCACCCACCCCTTCCTGGGGCTGTGTCTGAGTACGAGAGATGAGAAGGATGGCTGCTTGGGAGGCTCTCAGATTTGGATTCATTTTGTTCTGGTCACAGTGAGTTGTGCTTGGGAGAAAGGAAAGCACATGCAGGAGATAGAGCCCCCATCTAGCTTCACAATTCACAATGAAGTACCCTGTTGACATTCAACTCCATGTTGGTCGAATAGCACATTTAGCCTCAAAGAGAAAAGGGCTTTGGAAGGCTTAGATTCAAGGCTCATAAGCCTTGGACATCAAATAGCTCTTACCAATGACATTTTGATGAATTAAGTGTAAATGAAGCTGAAATGCTTCATTCCATTTCCCCTCCTGGGAAGGGAATTTGCCAGAGACCTGGTGGGGTGGCTGACTATGGCCTCAATCCACTGGGAAG